AATTATAATCTCGAAGCAAAAAGAAGGCGAAAATATTAAGAAGAAAAATAAAACAGTATTTATAGAAAAATATTTGAGACAATTCCACTTACTGGAGGAAAAGTGTGAAAGGGAGATAGGAAGGAGATTCTGTTGAAAAAAAAAAGGATCAGGAAGGTAGGGTTATAGAAAGGTCGGGGCAAAAGTTGGGTTGAGTTGATTAACTTCTGAAAGGAAGATTTGGTTTCAAATGTCAGAGGTGCTTCACAAAACAAAATACTGAACGAGTTGTTTTCCTCTTTCCTTCCATCTTGTGATCTGACACAGTAACCTCAAATGCTACACCACACTTAAAACAGACACCATTTTCATTGATTTGTTATTTCACTCCAGTACGGTGACTTAAATTAATTAGTACCTCTGGTCAAAGTTCTTATTCTTTAGTGTCTCGTTCCTTCAGGACATCGATGATCATTTCTAACTTTACTAAAGTTCCCGCCTCCGTTACCGTCATCCAAAAGCTCGTCAGGTAGATGATTGGTTGGCTGGCTTCCCTTATTTCTCTTGCCTTCAGTATGTCCTGTGAAGGTTAAGTTTTCTAAGCCGTCCTTCATCATTAACTATCTAAGAAATTTCAGCTATCACTTCCTGATTCTGAATATAAGTGTTTATTTTGTTACTTTTTTCTTTAATTTATTTTACTAATGACGTACAGTCAAGATTAGTAGACAATAAACTCGAACATCAGTTCCACTTGCACGAAATTATAAATCTCTTCTACTACATCTTTGAGCTGCTCGAAGTCTAACGCAATATTTATTATTACACGCAAGAAGCTAATATAATATTTTAATCTTTCGTGTTCATATAACAGTATTCCGTTTGAGATATTATTCAGTCCTCTTTAAATATATGATGTCTTTTAATGCATATTGTGGTTATCAATGCAGAAAGTGAAATTGGGGGGCCCAGTTCAATTTCGAATGGGAGCTGTTGCGTTCACTTTACCATAGATAACAGTAGACTAGTCTAAATTTAAAATCGATTGTATGTGGGGCTATCAACCTCATTCTGTGAAAAACGTATTTGATCCGGAAAACCAGAAACCATAGTAGCAACATTTAGTTTACAGTCAAGAGCTGACCTATACGTGACAAGGAGTCTGCAGGGTTATTATATTATATATATATATATATATATATATATATATATATATATATATATATATATATATATATATATATATATATATATATATATATATATATATATATATATATATATATATATATATATATATATATATATATATATATATATATATATATATATATATATATATATATATATATGTGTGTGTGTGTATGTAGCGGCTCGGACTGAGAGCACGAGAGCCGAGTTCGAATTCAGTCGAATCCATTACATTAATTTACGTGCTAATAACCTTGGAAAAGGTATGAATCCTCTTCCCATTCAGCTATGGGTAATTAGCAGGACAGACTGGGTTCTATAGCCTTGGATGGCAACTGAACTAGGATAAGGACAACTCTGAATGCAAAACCTGCAGAAGATTTCTTGGTGACCTTGTGGCATAGTGCACCACGGTTTGTATTCAAACCTTCAGAAAATGTGGTTTGTTCTACACAAAGCCTTTACCACTATAATCAAATCATATGTACTGGTGTCTGGCTGTCGGTTCCTAGGAACTGAGTTGCTGACCCTTATAGGTCGAAAAACGACAGAAGAGACCACCAGGTATATATATATATGTGCCTATATATATATATATATATATATATATATATATATATATATATATATATATATATATATGTATTTATGCAGCAATTCATCTTTTATACATGTTTCGTTAAAGACGGCTGACAAGGTACTGCGATTAATCTTTTTATTTAATTTTTTCTTGTGTTCGTATAAGCGTTTTCTTTTCTGGACACCAAGTCTGTAAAAAACTCTCCAAAAGTTCTGCATTTTCGTTCGCTTTGGATATAACTTTAGCCATTATCAAGCATGATTTGATTTTACTTTTAACTGAATGCATGGTTTGTGTTACGTATGTATGTAGAATTATAGGGATTTTTTATTTTTCAAACACAGTCAGCACATTGTGGCCGTGTTCATAGATAATATTATTGAGTGTTAACTTTTTCTTTATTATTATTATGGCTTCCATTATTTTTAATCTTTAAAAACAAACAAACACACACACACACACACACACACACACACACACACATATATATATATATATATATATATATATATATATATATATATATAAATATAAAAGTAAACATTGAATCCACACGCAACAGACTTTTTCATGCTAAACGCAATTATATATATATATATATATATATATATATATATATATATATATATATATTTTCTTACTCCATATGAGGCGGCAATGCCAGTAGGAGGCAGGGTGTTACAGGGAATGAAACTGAAGATGGGGAATATTGGCGACAAGACAAAAAAGGAATGGTGTTCAAGAAGAGAGAAGATGGCGATTAACGTTGCATTTATATGTTTGAAGATTGTAATTATCGGGGAAGCAAGAAATCGGAATAGAGTTTCACCGAGGAGAAGTGCGAGAAAAGAAACTGTTAGAGTAGAAGTGGCCGTTACATCTAGTTAGTTCGTAAAATGGCGAGATCTATTTGTCAATCTAATAGCACGCTTAAATTCGTCTAGTCGACACACGAGGGAAAAAAGCTCCCCAGAGGAGTTATGAAAATACTTGTAGAAAAAGACATAGGGAAGCCATATCCTGTCGGTAAGAAAGTGACTGAAGTTGAGATGCCTGTTTAGAAACCTCTTTTTTTTGTATTTGTTTAAGAATCTCAACAGTATTCAATGCACGGACACATGGTAGTTTTATAAATGTGCAAGACTGATTCTGACAAGAAAATTTTTCTGGCACGGCACGATGAACTAAGTTTCCTAGTAGTAGAGGTAGCAATTGATTCTAGAAATATCCTTTCACTTCATGTCAGTGAAAAACGTGTGTCCAAGAACGTGCAAAGTGTTTCTCTCCAAGACTTTAGCATCAGCCATGCTGATGTCAGACAGAAAAGGTTCTCCGTGGTCATTAAATGAGAACAGTTTTGGGGGTGTTAAAGTTTACAAACCATTACTTTCCCAAGTTTATCATTGATTCGATGTCCTTTTCAAGTGCATTTGCTAGGTTTACTTTGTTGGATCTGTGAGACTTGCTACCATGACTGCGAAAATTGTATTATCTGAATTAAAGAAGCATGCCAAATCCTGTCGAAAGCCTTCGAGATATCTACAGACACAGCAGCCAGAGTTTTCGTCATTCTTATCTAAAGCTTGATAGACAAATTCAGCGATGGCCGTTAGCACGTCTCCGGTAGATCTGGCGAAACGGAAGCCATATTGTTTGTCTGAAAGGTGGTCGTGCAAAGTAAGATGCTTAACTAATTCGGCATTGATTAGAGCCACGAGCATTATACACTGGCGTGCGAAGGTTTTTGGAACAACTGCATAAAATGATTGTACACCTGTATTTTATTAAGATGTTAAGATATTTTATCACTATGCTTTTATCAGTAGTGTCCGTGGGCCTTGAGGATTGGAAAATAAGTTGTGTTTTCATAGTTGCCGTGTAACAGAAGATAAAGCGTTGAAAAAAGATCATATAAAAACTATTGGGTCGATGAAAGATATGAGGTGATATAATCATGATAGCATGGTAAAAATGACTCCATCTTTTTAAAATCAGTATAAGATGTCTTGGTAAGTCATTGTAGTTGAACGTTAGCTTGCTTTTTTGCACTAGAATCATGGCTAAGTGTTAGATTAAAGAGATGAAAGGAAGATTGTGGGAGTCTCGGTAGGTAATCCAAAATTAACATCTAAACAAGTGAGGAATGAGTGTAAGTCATAACAGTGATGTTTCCGTTTATACAGTACGTTGGGTATTATGAAAAAAAATAAAAAAAAATATAAAAAAAACTTGAACGGGCGTATAGCAGCAAAAAATCATTAAATTAAGTAGACAAAAGAACATTTAACATTGGATGCTGGAAAATGGCAAAAAGCAATTTTTAGTAATGAACACAAAATAAATTTACACTCTAATGCAAAAAAAATATCAAAAGACAAGTGAAAGAAAGAAAGAATGCAAGATACACAAGAAAGATTTGATGGTGAACACGTAATGGTGGTGGGGTTGCATCTAAAATGATGGTAAAGGATTGATAGAAAATTAGTAAAGGTTGATGGAAACCTCTAAATTATATTAGTTTACTATGATCTAATCTTCTGTCAGACCACAAATATGGGACATTTTTTTTTTCAGTATTACAGTGCAGCTTTTTACACAACACGTACAAGAAAAAGGATATCTTGTAGATAAACATGCTCAGAAGACTGACCAGCACTATGTCCTGACCTTAATTTAATTGAACCATTGTGGTGGGAAGTGAAGAAACAAGTGTTCCAACAAAAATCAAGCAATCTCCAAGAATGGGAAAAAATTACGATGAGAAAATATGGAATTTGTTCAATTGAATGCCACATTGAATTGAAGCAATTATTCGAGCTAAAGGTAGCAACGATAATTCCATACTTTGAGGATTTGTATTTTTGAAATAATAATGATCACTTTTTGTAACACCCACAAAAAAGACAAAAACAATAGCCTTTTCTAGTGTCTCCATGCTTTATATGTTATATCACCGACCATATAGCAGTAACGAAAAATTACCAAAAGCAAATAATTTAAGGTGGGCCAAAGATTGGGCATGCCAATGTTTTGAGAGTGCGTGAGATAATTGGGAACAATTTATACAGAAATACAAATATTCAAAACATAAAATAATAACGTACACACACACACATATATATATATATATATATATATATATATATATATATATATATATATATATATATATATATATATATATATATATATATATATGATTCGGTCCGACTTCTCATAATTAGTATTTAGATATTTAGTTCATGAAGTAATGAAAGTTTTGTCAGTCAGGCTTAGAACTGATATATATATCTCGTCTCTTTCGATTTTTATCTATCTATCTATCTATCTATCTATCTATCTATCTATCTATCTATCTATCATAGTCTCTTCATATCTATTGGAGTTTTTATATATAGCTATCTATCTATAGCCGTTAGAATCGTTACCTAAAATCTTGAGGAATTTCCCAATTTTCGAAAGTCTTTTCAAATTCTTTTACTTCATAAATCGCACTACATATTTTAAAGCAATTAATTGATGTTTTAAGCCGAAATTATTGAAAGAGTTTGGTGTGAACACATGTCAGCATAGACATCTATGCTTTTTAAACATTGAAATTAGCATTATCACTGTTTAAAAATTCGAGATGCCTACTAAAAACACGTGTACCCTCCATATACAACATTTATAGTAGTAGTACTACTATTAATATATATATATATATATATATATATATATATATATATATATATATATATATAAGTAATAATAATAATAATAATAATAATAATAATAATAATAAGGTTGCACAGTATTGGCACCCACTGAATACAAAACCAGGCATGTAGAGTTGGTCAATATCTGCACTGGCAAATCTGCAACTTCAAAACATATAACGTATAAACACCACCCAGACCCGGTTACGGGGATAGAACCTGTTACAATTTTATGGGACTACACAATACACACAGACAGAGCAATCAAATCTAACCACCCAGGCATTGTTATTAGAGACCACAAACAAAAAAGTGCCTCCTTATTGATATGGCAGTCCCTGCAGACTGCAATGTATCGTTGAAGATCTTCAAAATACTATCAAAATACAAGGACCTTGAAATCGAAATCTCAAAAATGTGGCACATGGGAACATCAACTACCCCTGGAGCCCTCGGATTGGTTGGAAAAGATTCCAGTAGACTAATTGAAGGGATTTCTGGAAGCCAATGCTTTGAAGAAATACAAAAAAATGGTTCTCACGAGTACAGCCCACACCTTACGAAGGTCTTTATTATGTATTTTTTTTTTGTCAGTGAAAAATGTCATTATGCCATTTCTAACCTTTGGTCTCTGAACCCGCAACAAAATGTGTACACACCAGCAATCAAAGGAAATAATAATAATAATAATAATAATTATTATTATTATTATTATTATTATCATTATTATTATTATTCAGGGTGTCTTGAAAACATTGTAACTCTTGGTAAATTAACATTATGTTCTTCTATAACATGTTGGGTTCTCATCGGCCTTGTAGGTTTTATTGTGGAGCCTAATTGAATCATTTAATTGAAATGTAGCCTTATCACCCCAAACAACATTTGCCGAATTTTCTAAACATCTTCCCCCAAATTCCATTCTTCGGTCAGGATCAACACTATTATTAATACGGAATATTCTTGGAATGTGATTTTCCAAAGACAGCGCTTCAAAATTTTGAACTAAATATCCTAGAAGATCGCGGATATCGACGCACCCCCACCAAAGCAATAAATGGTACTCGAAAAGTATTTGACAGAATACAAAAAGATCAATGCAGCAAACCAGTCATAAGAAATCTTCTTCCGAAAGCTAAGCAAAGTGTTGAGAAACGGGAAAAACTTTAGAAACAAAGAAGACAGTACTGGATTGCTATGTGGTGTGGCAGTAAATGTTTTCCAAAGGGTGAGGAATAAACTGAAGGAGCAATAATATGGTTCTACAGAAGGATACTGAGAATTCCGTGGACGGAGTCAATAAGAAACAAAGTAGTCGTAAAGAAAATTGTAGCAAAATCAGAAAATTCAGGAAAAGACAACTGAAAATTCATTGGACGTATAATGATAAAGGAGGGCTGGAAAAAATTAGCCCTCGAGTGGCATGTTGAGGGCAAGAGAGATAGGGAAAGGCAGCAAGCTATCTGCCTAACCAGATACGAGATATGAGATAGAAAGTTGTGGAGAGTCATGATCTCCTATGTCCTGAAGGCAGAATAGAAGTCTTATGACTAACTTGCCGCATATATTTTCTTGTACACTGGCAATATGTTTATAGTACTTTTTTCTTGCTTTGTGGGACTCGTTGATGTCCGTGGTCTTCTGAAAAGTTTCTTGGGGACATTGTAAACAGATCCATTTACTTCAAACGTATATGCGTTTCCAGTAGGAATTTAGAATCGATTTTCTTTGTTTAAAGCTTAGGATGCCATCATTATCTCTAATTGGTTAAATCGAAAAAGAAATGAAAATGAAGCGAGCTACCAGCTGTTAAGGTGTGTGCACATTTTGGGAACATCCTGTATAAGCTAGCTCTGTACGGGGAATTTGTAAGAGGCAAGCACTTGCAGTATAAATCCCATAAGCGTTATAAAGATTGTTTAAAAGATTCCCTTTCGAAACCACCTGCTAGCGAGAAAAGCGATTTTCGGAACATCGTTGCCAATTTTGAGCGGAGAGGAATTAATCATACTGCGACGAAGCGTTCTGCAAGTAAAAGAGAAACTGTAGAAATTGAAGGAATATTTAATTGTGAGATTTGTGATGGAGTATGGTCTGCTAAGGCTGGTTTTATCATGCCACGACACTATGTACAATTACAATTTATCAGCAAGGATTGACATGCAGTGACTGTGTTAAGGTTTGTAAATTGTCAAGTGGACTCACTCAGAATTTCAATAGGACACATCTAAATGAGCATGCTTTTAGCGGCAAATTGAAATGCACCACGGGTTGACATGCAAATCAAGTGCCACTTGAGGCAAAATTAGGAATTGGTCTAGGAAAACTAAATAGGTGTAAAATTGGTTGTACCCGGTCAAAAAACCGACGTTACACCACACACACACACACACACACACACACACACACACACACACACACACACACACACACACACACACACATCTATCTATCTATCTATCTATCTATCTATCTATCTATCTATCTATCTATCTATCTATCTGTGTGTGTGTGTGTGTGTGTGTGTGTATAGGGATAACACCTAGCAGTGACAGTGTTTTTTTCATGCTTAAACGCAATTTTCAAGCCAGACCGTCGCCGCTGGGTGATGACCTAATGTCTATTTTATATTTAGAAACGTTCTATTCGTGATACTGAGCACTTCAACCCATAGATAAAGCATACATTAAAATATATTTTTTCATATATATATATATATATATATATATATATATATATATATATATATATATATATATATATATATATATATATATATATATATATATATATATATATATGTGTGTGTATTTATTAAGATAAAAGAAAACTTTGCCGACGCGTTTTGTCTTCTGATGGGCTTCATTAAAGCAAATGTAAGGATTTTATTTTGCAACAAGTATTTATAAACAAAATGCAAAATTTTGCTAGTTTTTAAAAATATTTAAATTTAAGAAACGTCTAGGCAAATTTAAGTCTAGGCAAATTATGGAGGAAACTAAGTAATATAATTTCATGTGCAATAAACAAAAGTCAATAAATGATGTTGAAATTTTAAATTATAAACTATCCGGAGTCCTTTAAAAAGGATCCATTTTTCCTTTCATTTCGGTGTTGGAAGTGTTACCTGATGATCCGGAGTCCTTTAAAAAAGATTTTGGTGAAATAAATTATTGTAATGGTTTTAAAATGGTCTGTTTTTATATATATTATATATATATATATATATATATATATATATATATATATATATATATATATATATATACCAGCCTGGATATTAAAAAAAAACTTTAAAGTATTCTAGGAGCGCATATTTCTCGAATAATATTAGACGAAAATAAATAAATATACTGTTTAACAAATAAACGGAACATCTACTCAAATATGAGTTTCCGCTAAAAATAGTGTTTGCGTAATAACATGTATGTATGTATGTATGTATGTATGTATGTACGTCTCTTTATATATAAATAATAATAAATAAAAAAACAGAAATGACGAAACACTAATAAACTTGAATAAATAATATTTGTATAATAATATCAAAATGCAAATGCGATGTGAAATAAAATGTCATTCTCTGAGGAAATACAATAAAAGAAATAAAACAAACTGTCTGAAATTTCACATTTTTGTTCAACTTCAAATATTGATCCTAACGAGGCTGGACACCTGTTCTAATGGTTTAATGAAGTTAATTTCATGCATCATTATCACCAGAGGGAAGACCGGTCGTCATTATGTTAGCGTAATAAATAAGGACTTCCTTGCGGAATCAAATAGAATTCCTCCACCCATGAGAAATGCAGAAAAGACCACTCCTAACTATCATTATATCAGACACACATTTCGAAACATTATGACATTACTCCGCCTACTTATCATTCGATGTTATAAAACAGAGTTATTTCGAATGGGAAGATTTTAGTTACAGTGGATTACATGTACATTTGTAGAAAAACAGTTTTACTGCTAAATTAAAGAAAAGAAGGGTTTTCATATGTCCAAAATTCCTCGTCGCATTCAAATAAAAAAAGTACACTATTTTCGTTTTTAAACAATTTAAAATCTTTTTAACAAGATAAATGAAATTGTAGGAAATAACTGCCACTCACACTAAGTGAAGCCAATCTCATCAACAACTACGACAGCGAATGTAAATCTACTGCAAGAAAAAAAAGAAGCCTTTCTCAAATCCTTCCATGACAATTGTGTCTACGCTAGTCTCTGCTATGTCATGTGTAGAAAACACCATATTCTGTCTTTTTTTTTGGGAGGGGGAGCACTTCGGCGTGGTGTAATGGTTAGCAAGCTTGTCTCGCTAAAACAATTATGACTTAATAGTGAATTCAATCCTCACTGGGTGTCCCATAGTTACGGCCTTGTGCCACGTCTAATCTACGCTTAGAAAATCGATATTCTGTCTGATTTTAGCCTACCGCGTTTACTACACTATAAGCAAGCAACCTTTGCTACACCTGTTCTTTTTTTAGCTATATGTTCCGCCGATTCACATTGTTTCAGCCACTTCGATGATAGCTCTGATATCGGTCCGTTTCATGATCCAAGTTGGTCACTTTTTATCGCCCGATATCCGCGGCATTACTCTTTCTAAGTTTCTATGTTTCCGTTTGTTATTAAGCGATTTTGTCAATTGCCATTTTTCGCACTTCTACATTATACACACTTTATATTTTTAGCATATTGATAAAATGCTTTGCATTTTGCCTTTCTTTTTATTAAAAACTATCCAACCTATTTTTGTACGTCATTTTATTTCTCATGATTTTGTTTACTATTATCGCCTACTCGAATTAAATATATTCATGGGCATCTACCAGTTTTTTGACTCTCTATTCGAATATGAATATTATCCCATCTCGGAAAGGGGCGATGAATATTATCCTATCACAAAAGAGGCAATGAATATTATCCTATCACGTAAGGGGCAATGAATATTATCCCATCTCGGGTGGGGCAATGAATATTATCCCATCTTAGAAGGGGCAATGAATATTATCTCATCAACGAAGGGGCAATGGATATTATCCTATCACGTAAGGGGAAATGAAGATTATCTCATCTCGGATGGGGCAATGAATATTATCCTATCTCGGAAGGTAAATAAGAAAGAAATGGCCACCTACTGTGGGAAAAATCTACCTCGTCATGTATTGAAAGATGCATGATCGCCTAAGCGTGTATCACGCATGGCACATAACTGACTAATGAATAAATCTCCCCTATATATGGGTTAAACAGTGGGGCTTGTGTCGGGAAAGTTCTCAGCTTGACTTAGTATTTCATTGAAAAACAGAAAATAGATTTTGGCAAGTAGGTCGGGCAGAGAACTTTTCAGTACACCCACGTACTTTCTCCAAGGTTTTGGATTCAGAGTCGCCATCTTCTTCTTCTCCCCCCGCCTCCTCCTTCCTTCTTTCCTTCCTCTTTTTCTTCTCTCTGCCTCCTCCTCCCCTTATTCTTCTTTCTCGTCTTGGTTAAGACGTTAAACTACACCCGCATCCTGGGTAAGACGTTAAACTACATCCGCGTCCTGGGTAAGACGTTAAACTACATCCGCATCCTGGGTAAGACGTTAAACTACATCCGCGTCCTGGATATGACGTTAAACTACGTCCAGCAGCAAAGCCTCTGATCAGGAGGTTTTGAGGAGCGTGGAACCGCCACTTAATTGCTGGTGTTCTCAGGTCCACCCTGACCCGGGGTGGTAGCACCTGTTAGGGTCCCAGCTATGGGCAAATAGTTAACTATTACCAACAATACGTTTTTGAAAAAAAATATTACTAGCACAACAATTTTGAAGGAAATATATTACCAGAAACAGATTTTTGACAAAATAAAATATTACCAGCAATAAATTTTTTTGTCAGCATTAAATGACCCATTGAGGTTGATATGCCGTAAAGAAAAATAAACTAAACCAATCTAAACCAAAGAATACATACTCTATTCATACAAATCTATGCTAAAAATGTCTGCATTAAATAACCCATGGAGTTTGATAAGCCGTAAAACAAAATAAACCAAACCAATCATTCTTCTTTCCTCCTCCTCCTCCACCTCCACCACCACCACCACCACCTACTTCTCTTCCTCCTCCTCCTCTTTTTCTACTTCTTCCCTCCGCCTCCTCCTCCCTTCCTTGTTCTTCTCTCTGCCTTCTCCTCTCCGCATTCTTCTTTCTTCCTCGTCCTCCTCCCCACCTTCTCCTCCTCTTCTTCTTCCCTCCGCCTCCCCTCCTTCTTTCCTTCTCTTTCTTCTACTTCTCTGCGCCTCCTCCTCTCATTATTCTTTCCTCCACCACATTGTCCCCTACCTTCTTCTTCTCGTCGTCTTCCTCCTCCTCTTCTTCACAAAGTCTAGAGAACCAAAACTGCTCTGCTATTAAAGGCGGGGAAAAAGATGAATTGTTACTTTTTCCAAGGGCATCAGTACAAAATGAAAACACATCTATCTCAGCCAAAATTTGTACTCAGTAGATGTCATAAATAGAAAATTTTAAAATGCCTTTCAGGAAATAGACAGCCATAGTTCTCTATAGATTCCTTTCATTATTATTTTCCAATTTCTAGAAAAGATAGTCAAATAATCTCCCTTTACCTTCTCAACTTTTTTCAATTCAGTGTTGTCTTTCACCTAGACCGGCTGCCATCCAAGGTTAGAGAACTCGATCTTGGAACGAATTACATGAGTTTTAAAAAAGTTAGTTAAAAAAGAAATTACACACAAATAGTTTTGAGAAAACCGACACACTTTAAATCACGGGCAAATATTAATATCTTTGCGCAAATTAATTATGAAATTATTTCAACGTTATATGACACCATAGACGAAATCTTGTCGCATGATCTTTATGAAAAAAACTGCATCGGTTCAAATAGCAACACATTCATATTGAAGCAATCCTCCCGAAATAAAGAAAAAAAAAATCCCTCCAGCTTGGGTAAAGATGAGAAACGACAAGACGGGAGTGTATCCATAGAATGTTAAATACTCCATCAATATCGCTCCCCAAGAAAGAAAAAAAAAAAAAAGAAAAAGACAAAGAGAAAATGGAGCGCGCAAGAATGTTTATCCTGCTTCCTAATTTTAACTGCATGTTGAACAGTAAGTGGATAGGGGGGGAAGTCCGCTTAAAATAGTTTTCACCTGCGTCATAAGACCGGGTAATTCTAGGTGAACTTGCCAGAAAATAAACATAGAATAAATACAGAAGGATGAGAATAGTGATTATTATTATTATTAGTGGTATTATTTTATTTCCTTTAATTTCTGGTCAGAAATGGCATCAGGACATTTTCCACTGACCAATTAAAAAAACAAAAAAAAAACAAAAACGAAAAAACAAAACACACACACGCACACACATATTTTACTTAGATAAAGCCCTTTGTAAGGTGTAGGCTGTAATCGTGAGAACAATTTTTTGTATTTCTTGTTGTTGTTGTTGTTGTTCTTCTTCTTCTTCTCTTCTTCTTCTTCTTCTTCTTCTTCTTATTATTATTATCATTATCATTAGAGGTGAGAGAAAGTCTCCTTAAAAATACAGCACTTTCTTTTTCTTCTTTTCACAGTAATGTTCACCCTGTTTAAGGTCCGGGGGCCACTCAAGGTAGAGGGTTAAGTTAAGGGGTAGTTTATGTAGATAGGAGGAGAAGATAACGGTTGACTTGAACATGTTAAGATTGTAGTGATCGAGGCAACGTCCTCTTGGAAGTTTGTTCCACAGAGTAGTGGTTTGCGGAAAGAAGCTGTTCGAGTGGAACTTACTTATCGCTGATGGAATACGGAGGGAATGTGAATGGTTCGCTACTATGTAAGTGGCATGGTGGGTCCTAGCCGTGAAGGTTAGACCTGGCGGAACCAAGGGATTTAGTTCGTTCGAGCACTTTGGATGGAAGTAGCGATAGCGCTGTAAGAGGTTCGCTACACCCTCCCCTGTGAGAGAGAGAGATTGAAACGTGGAAAATAGGTGGACTCTATCAAGACTGGAAAGTGAGGAATGGGCAGCTACCGCATAGTTATGGCAACAGTACTCCGTTTTTGGCCTGATCTGGCTCTTTTTTTTATAAACGAGCACGAGGATTCAGGTACTTATTGGGGCGGTACGGAGAGCCAATCATTTCTTTCGCGATGGATCGTATATAAAAGTTCCACTTGATTTCGGGTGTCAATTTAAGGCTCGATACTATTTCAATCCATGGTGCCTCCTCGAAATGGGACATCCGTTCACCGTGACTGGCGTCGCTTTTCTCTCTGGCCTTCTGTCGGTCACGGTAATTCTCTCAAAAATGTTTAACAGAATTTTTCATTCAGTCAATTGAGATGTAAGTTAAATCCCCCTTTTATCGTATCATTAAATTATCTTCTCTCTATGAAAATAAGCGCAACACACTCGGACGGAATTAGAACTCGCCTCGATGCCTCCATTTTCCACGCTGATAACCGTTACATTCATTATCATATCTAATATGGACACTTCGACGTGGTGTAAGCGTTAGCAAGCTTATCTTGCTAGATCAATTACGAGTGAGTTCGATCCTCACTGGGCACGACACACTTTCATCTTTGTGCCACATCTAAGTTTTTCTTAGAAAATCATTTCGATTCTCACTGGGTGCTCCATCATTTTGTCCTTATGTCACATCTAATCTCATCTAGAAAACCTTAGAACATCTAATTTCACATCTAAAATCCTCATTATAACATTATGTATTGAAAATCATTTTTTTATACAAAAAAGTCAAATAAATCAACAAATAGTAATTTTAATGTTTGATGTAATTTAAAAAAAACAAAAACAAAAAACAGAAAACAGGTTATAGTTTTTCCTGGGCATTTTCCAGCAATAATGAGTTGTCATTTACGGTAGGTCGCAAATGCCTCGGTTGATATTATACTATAGGAGTACCCTTTAAAGTCTATGTTGTACAATTGATTTTTATTTATCTCTCAAGTTCTGTTCGCTGTTCTTAATAATTTCAATGCTGCCTTGTAGCATTGTTGCGTGGCTGTGCTGACCCGGACACGCTGTTGTGCAGACTAAGATAAACGACAATCTCAACACAAAATATAATAAACATGTATCACGAAAAAGATATTGTACACGACTATATATCTACTCTGGTTTTAAAATGGTGCAAAGCGCTTATTTGTTTATAATACAAACGCTAGGGTCTGACATTCCAGGGTTTCGTGAAAACGCGCAGGTATCGTCGATATAAGTTTTGTAAAGGCCTCTATGTTCGCTTTCTATACTTATATATACGTCGACGGCAGGTCATCTGTTTTAATGACGTTTAAATACGTCCACGGATTACTAGTCTATTCTCATATTTTTTTTTCATTGCCTCATATTTTATTCCAGAATTCTCTCTATGACGTCTTCATTCAATTTTTTTTCTATAGATTTTATTGATTTCTTTATTTCCATACAGAACTTGTTACTTATGAAATTGATTTCTTTTCTCATATCTTTCATACTATTGTTCAGTCAATACAAGGTCCAAAAACCACTCCTTTTTCTTTGTGCTTTTATTAGGACACGTTGTTTAAGGGTCATTTTTTCAATTTGTATATGATTTTCATTTTTATATTCTACTAGACTACCTGTGACCCGTTGGGTCACTGACGGTTCAGGTTAGAAAACATTGAAGTTGATTTCAACATACCATTGAAATGAAAGTTAATTTCATTCGTTCTTGTCATCACTGGTCTGGGTTACTAGTTCATGTTTAACGTTTTACTGATTGTTTACAACATTTAATAGCAATAAAACCTCTGGTATAAACTTGATCTTTAAATCAGATTAACTTAAAAAAAATATTTTTTAATAAGCCAAAAATTATTTTTAAACCATATTCACTTAAAATATTTTTAAATATACCAAATGTTTAAAATCTTATTTGTTTAAAAAAAAGTTGAAATATAAATAATTACTCTACAAAGTACTGGACGAAACAGCAAAGCGGGATCTCTTTGTCTCTATCTTTAACTTAAAAATATTTTAATTAAAAAAAATGTCGGTATGAAGAAAGATAAAATAAAAATGTTTACTGTATAAACAACTTGTATATTTTAATCTTATTCACTTAAAATATTTCTTAAATCAGATTAACTTAAAATATTTGTTAAATATTTAAAATATTGTTTGTTTAAAGAAATCTGAAATATAAATTATTACTCTACTAACAACTGGACGAAACAGCAAAGCGGGATCTCTTTTTGTCTGTCTTTAACTTAAAATTATTTAAATTAAAAATGTTCTGTTTGAAGAAAGTTAAAATAAAAATACTTACTGTATAAACAACTCATAAATCATTATGTGCCGGGGTGGGGGACGCACCACACAAGCACACCCACGCAATCACAGACTTTTAGTATTATATAGATTTACAATTTAATTTTGATTTCCTTCTTTTCCATTTTATTCCTTTTGATATTTCATCCATGATTGCGAATTTTACCCACAAAAATTCAATATCTTTCCCCGTTTTTAATCTCCAAAATGGCGATTTATATTTTTCATGTATTAACTTTTGTTTTCCAAGGTCTTTTTATTGAAATTATGATAATTAAATTGATTAAATTAAAGTCAGTGTTATTTTAGCATTTCTCTAATTGATTTATCAACACTTCTAATAATATTTTCTTTTCATTTCTCCTCATGTCTTCCTTTCGGTCATTTTTTTTCTTTTGGGGGGGCTCGTTTTCATTTGCTTATCTATCCTCTTATATGGCGTTGTATACTGGACAATGTCACCGCGAATGAGGAGAAAACTGGAGGAAATAGAAACATGATTCTACAGAAAGATACTGAAAATTCCATGGATGAAACAAGTAAGCGTAACAAGGAAGTTCTAAAAAAAAAAAAATGACAACAGAAAGAACATTTTTCTTTTTTCTTTTTTAAGCATTTCACCCCAAGCAAGGCGGGAGTGCCACTAACACGCAAATGGTTACAGAGAGTGAAAGTATGAGTAAAGAAGGGAGTTTGAGGAAAGGATAAAGAGAAGGACGGAGATCAAGATCAAGGCATTAGAAGATGTCGATTGACATTACATTTAAATTTTTGAAGATTATAGTTATCAGCGAAGCAAGGAAGAGTTTCAGTGTCGGGAAGGGCAAAAGAAGCTGTTGGAATAGAAGGGGCGGTTACATTTAACTGTTTCGACTTTGAAAGGGTGGGACCGAGATGCCAAACTAGTAGCACGCTTAAATTCATGCAGCAGGGGCACCAGTGAAAATAGCTCGTCAGAGAAGTTACCGTGAAAATATTTATAGAAAAGACAGAGGGAATCCACAGCATGTCTGTGAGAAAGTGACTGGAGTCGAGATGCCAGATCAGGATCTATTACATTGCAGATGTGTCTTTGAATTTTGTCGAGAACCTGGAAACTGCGGGGGGTACCAGATCATATATGGAAACAGTATTTAATGCAAGGACGAATGGTAGATTTTTAGCTGTGAAGGATGGACTCAGACGAGAAAAAAAAAACCTTTTGGCGCGACACAAGGTACCAACTTTCCTTTCGGAAGAAGAAGCTATCGATTCACTGTAATTTTCCCACCTCAGGTCAGTGGAAAACGTGAGACTAAGAAAGCGCAGGGAGACTCTCTCGTGAAGTTGAGCATCAGCCATGCTGATAGGAGGCAGGGAGTTATCTCTATGGTGGGTAAATGATAGCAGTTTCGCTTTGGAGGCATTCAAGTTTACAAACCATTTTCTGCACTAGTCAACAACAGGTTGGAGGTCCTTTTCGAGACCAATGGCCAGGTTAACTTTGTCAGCAATGTCAGATTGAGAACTGATGGCATCAGAAAGATCGTTGGTGAAGGTCATGAACAGTGTAGGACTAAGGATAGAGCCTTGGGGAACACCAGCGTTCGTATGAAAGGAACTAGAGGAGAACCCGTTTAGGATCACATTTCACGGTTTGACAGGAATGATTGGATTAAATCAAATAATCGTCCTGTAATACCGTATCCCTAAAGCTTACGAAGAAGGCCGGCATGCCGAACCCTATCAAATTCCTTAGAGATATCTAGAGTCACAGCTCGAGTTTCGTCGTTATTATCAAGAGCTTGGTATACAAATTCAGTTATATCCGTAAGTACGTCAGCGGTAGGTCCGGGCAAATCGGGAACCATATTGTTTGTCAGAGAGTAGATCATGGGAGGTAAGGTGCTTAACTACTTCGGCATTGATTAAAGCCTCGAAGACTTTGCCGAAGAGTGGTAAGAGACTGATAGGACGGTAGTTAGATGGGTCAGAAGAGTCTGCAGTGTTCTTAAAATCAGGAACATCAGATGAAGACTTCCAAAGGGCTGG